TAAATGCCAACCTTTCTTTCTTTCTAAGATTTTATTTATTTATTTGAGACAGAGTGTGGGCACACAAGCAGGGAGAGGGAGAAGCAGACTCCCTGCTGAGTGACATGGGGCTCCATCCCAGGACCCTGGGATCATGACCTGAGCCGAAGGCAGAATTTTAACGGACTGAGCCACCCAGGAGCCCCTCAACATTTCTTTAAAAAATGGAAATTCTCTAGTGTTTGAGGTTTTAGAGACACCAGAAGAATATTAAGATTTATTGCCTAAGCAAACCACAGTCATTTCAAAATAGCTATGCCATTTATAAAAGTGTGCCTATTGATTTATATGAATTTTAAAAACACAATTCCACACCATTCCACTTGATTTTAGAATCTTTAATGCCACAACATTAATTCTTTACCCAGTCTTTGGTTATGTGCCTGAAGATGGTCCATTATTTTCGTTCTAATCCCTGGATTTTTCATGTAATTTTGTGTAACTTTTATTTGAAAAGGAAATGTCAGGCTATGAGGAGCCCCTGGGAAGGGCTCTTCTGTGCTGATTCTGTCTGCACTGGGAAGAATGCTATCTGCACTGGGAAGTTGGAACACAGATGAGATGGCCTTGGGCAGTTTGGTTGCTAGACCCTGGTGACTCTGTGAGCCCGGGACACACCGTTGTTCCTCTGTCTGCCTTCCTTTTCCACACCCTTTCTAGCTTCTCAATTCAGACCCCAAGAAATCTCTCAAAGTTTTTTTTCTACTTTGTTCCAGTTTTTCATGGGCCCTATTTAGCAAGTAAATTCCTCTCTGGAGATGTTGACTATTTCTCACCCAAACCAGTTGTGTTGGAAATATCATCATAAATTGTCTTCTGTCAGGGCCTTATGACTTTTGCAGCATGTTCTGAGAAATAATGGTAGTAAGACCATAGTTGGGTTGATAATCTAACACTTCCAACTGATTTCAGTCTTTAAAGTTTAGTTTTACTTTTTTTTTTAAGATTTTATTTATTTGTGAGAGAGAGAATGAGAGACAGAGAACATGAGAGGGCGGAGGGTCAGAGGGAGAAGCAGACT